TTATAGTTTGAATATAGGGATTTGTGTGTTATTTATAGTTTGAATATAGGGATTTGTGTGTTATTTATAGTTTGAATATAGGGATTTGTGTTGAAAAGGTTGGGAAACATTCGGGGTGAATTTATAGCAGGGAATGCTGGGAAATTATCTTAGAGGGGGGGAACTGAATAAATTTATTTTGTATTGAATTCTAAATATAAATAAATTACGAAGATGTTAAATTATAAAACTGGTTTAAAAATCTCGGGGGAGGGGAGGAAGAGAGGAGAGTTGGGATGGCAGAGTGCGCGTGATCGAATACTTTCAGGTATGCTGAATACTAGCATAAAAGTTTCCAGAAGTACCCCCCCCCCCCCACACACACATTACTCGAATTTTACATGTGATTACAATGCACTCGCACGCGCGTGGATTAGAAGTGTAACGATTTCCTTCGTACGTTTAAAACGCCTTCTACGTTACGAGAAATTATCGCGTGATTCTTTCTGATGAGCATTCCGTTCCCAGGAATTTCGAACCAGCAATTAAAGTGTACCATTCGATAACGCGAATCGGAAACCGGAACAGCTGTTTACGAATTGAGCTCACAACCGCTTCTTTGAATAGAATAATAATAATAAAAAAAAAACTCATGCAAACACGTTGATAATTACAACTACCCTAAGAAAGTAGGCCTAAACAACATTACAAAATGGGTAGCAATTTGTTTGGCCCGGCATGGCCAGGTGGTTATGGCGCTCGACTCGTAATCCGAGGGTCACGGGCTCGAGTCCCCGTCCCACCAAACACGCTCGCCCTTTCAGCTGTGGGGGCGTTATAATGTGACGGTCAATCCCACTATTCGTTGCTAAAAGAGTAGCCCAAGAGTTGGCGGTGGGTGGTGATGACTAGCTGCCTTCCCTCTAGTCTTACACTGCTAAATTAGGGACGGCTAGCGCAGATATTCCCAACAAACAAACAACTTATTTACCAATGTCTCGATTAACTTAATTCACGCATGTGGATAACTTAAAATGTCTTGACGTTTTTAAAAATATGTTCTATGTATATATAGATATATCCATGGGTGAAATTCTCAATAGAAAGTAGAGGCACTCAATTGGGTGAAGTGAACCTGTTTTTGAAAAAGAAAAAACAAATCTGCGTGTAAACATAAAAAAAACAACAAAACAACACACACACACAAAGCAGCTGAAATAAGTCACGGTACTAGTACCGCCTTAGAAAATAAGTCCCAGTACCGGTAGAATTTCACCCCATGTATCTATCTTATTTAAAATCATGTTTATATACATGATTTTGTTTTGTTTGTAACTAAGCACAAAGCTACACAATGGGCTATCTGTGCTCTGCCCACCACGGGTATCGAAACCCGGATTATAGCATTGTAAGTCCGCAGACATACCGCTGTGCCACTGGGGGGGGGGCTCATGATTTTGTTATAAGACCGACACACAGATCACACCTTATACCACACCATCACGTGACAACGTAAAATAAATATACGGATCACATCCTATACCACACCATCACGTGACAACGTAAAATAAATATACGGATCACATCCTATACCACACCATCACGTGACAACGTAAAATAAATATACGGGTCACATCCTATACCACACCATCACGTGACAACGTAAAATAAATATACGGATCACATCCTATACCACACTACCACGCGACAACGTAAAATAAATATACGGATCACATCCTATACCACACCATCACGAGACAACGTAAAATAAATATACGGATCACATCCTATACCACACCACCACGCGACAACGTAAAATAAATATACGGATCACATCCTATACCACACCATCACGCGACAACGTAAAATAAATATACGGATCACATCCTATACCACACCATCACGAGACAACGTAAATAAATATACGGATCACATCCTATACCACACCACCACGCGACAACGTAAAATAAATATACGGATTACATCCTATACCACACCATCACGCGACAACGTAAAATAAATATACGGATCACATCCTATACCACACCATCACGTGACAACGTAAAATAAATATACGGATCACATCCTATACCACACCATCACGTGACAACGTAAAATTTCGACAATTATAGTTTTTTATTCCTCGGGGATGCTGCAATCATAAAAATCCTTTAATTCAAACGCTCACCGCTGTTGATATACTTTTTCATTATAAATATTTGAAAATAAAACCATCGATTCAACACAAGTGCGTCTGTAGTTTGGCGCGAATGTGCGTTTTACTAAGACGTTTTTTGAAGACAATGTATGAAAAAAAAAAGTTCGTAAATTCTCCATCTAGGAAGTTAAATTCACGAAGCGCTTCGTAACTTCCGGTTGATTCGGTTGTTGAGGATTTAAGTTTTAATAGACACGTCATCAAAAACAAGCAATGAATTTCTTCTGTGAAACTTAGTGATTGATATATATATATATATATATTGGTTGAAAAAATATCCGTTTTTTTAAGTTTTTTTTTCCTGCGAGCTAGAAGTAGATATTTGATAAAATAATAATAACAGGCCTAATACTGGGGATGTAAAAACTGGTCGTAAAGTGTTACATTTTTAGTAAAATGTAAAAAAACTTTTTTTTTGATCCACACAACGTTTCTTTTTGTGTTAAAAGTTTCATTTACATAACATAAAATAGGAGTGTTATCATCGAAAAAATGATTTATGTACATAACATAAAATAGGAGTGTTGTCATCGGAAAAATGATTTATGTACATAACATAAAATAGGAGTGTTGTCATCGGAAAAAGGATTTATGTACATAACATAAAATAGGAGTGTTGTCATCGGAAAAATGATTTATGTACATAACATAAAATAGGAGTGTTATCATCGAAAAAATGATTTATGTACATAACATAAAATAGGAGTGTTATCATCGGAAAAATGATTTATGTACATAACATAAAATAGGAGTGTTGTCATCGGAAAAAGGATTTATGTACATAACATAAAATAGGAGTGTTATCGTGTTTTTAATAATGCTTTAAAGCGTGGATAGAATTATTCAAACATTTTTTTCAAAATGTATCATAAATTCCCTCGTGAAATTTACGTATGTATATACTTAATATTTCAAAGAAATGTTTTTCTTTCAAAATATTTTTTAAATTTTCAACAGACGGAGAATAAAAAAATATATTTTTTTTTGTTTGTTTGAAAGTGCATATTAGTTCTGACTCAATTGTTTATACTTTCACTATTCTTGAACATTTATTTCCCTATTTCCCTGTCTTTATAACAATTTGGTTATTATACAAAAAGAGAAAAGATGAAGAATTTCAAGGCTTAAATATTTATTGATTCATATAAACCAGTAAAAAAAAAAAAAAAATAGTTAATTTTAGTATACACACGATAACTTAAACAAAAAAAAAACGTAACCTCGACGTGAGAGACATACTTTAAGTAC